TTAGAACAGACGCGCAATGGGCATCAGCCAAATGGAAATGGACATGGGCATCAGCGTGCAACCCAGTTTACAAAAATGGAGTTTCCCAAATTCGCGCGCAATGACGACTTGGCATGGATACTCAAATGCGAATGGTTTTTCGAACTCGATGAGACGCCAGCGGAAGCCAAAGTCAAGATCGCAAGTCTGCACCTTGATGACCGCGCATTTCAATCGCATTTGGCGAATGAGAAATTGTGGGGTGCGAATCCACTGACGTGGGAGGAGTACGTTGACATTCTTAAGGACTGCTTCGGACCGGCCTATGAGTAACCTATAGGCGACCTTTTGTGACTTCGTCACCTAGGTTCACCTGCTGACTTCAATGAGGAGTTTGATCTCGTGTTAGCGAAGGTTGGGTTCTCTGAAGAACAGCTAGTTGATGCATATCTGAATTTAATAAGGGAAGAATTGGCGGGCCCAGTCCGCATGTTTAAGCCCAGAACCATGTGTGAAGCAAAGAGCCTTTCACGCATGCAAGAACTCACAACAGATAGACAGAACACCAAGAAAGGGCCAGATGAGGGGCTTCAGTATGCAACACCTGTCAATGCAGTGGCACCTCTGAACCGTTACACCACTACACTGAATAAGGAGGTCCTAACGATAAATGAAGCCCAGAACAGAGAAAGAAACACCACGGCCATCCCCAAGACTCAATCTTTTAGTGCTAAAGCTATCCCGAGGCTTCAGAAAGCATTGACTGCCGAGGAATATAAAAATCTTTTAGTCCTAACTATTTCTATTTCTGGCAAGTCTGACAATTCTGCACAAAAATCTTCACATCATCCTTCATATTCTTCCATTAGAAGTGTTGCTGCAAGTGCTTCAGAGTTTTCACATGGCCACCATGACCATCAATAGGAGAAGAATGAGCTTTTGCCAATAGTTTGGTGCTTAATGCTGAAGGAGCTAGTATAGCAACTTTATCCTTGTAATATAGTCTCCTGGCAACTAGACTAAAGCAAGGTACAGACTTAGAGTCATGTTGCAAGGACTGCAAAATAGAGGCCGTGTAACTGTTCTGCTGCAATAACTGAGGAAGATCGTCAAAGTCTGAGGCATGTGCAATGGAAACAGCAAAGAAATTAGCTGATTGAGGGCATCAAAATTGAGGGCATCTTGATAGTGCATCTGCTCTGTGATTAGAAGTGCTAGCTTTATGCACAATTTTAAAATCAAATGGGAGTAACTTTAGTATAAGGCGCTGTTGGTCAAGGGTAGATAACCTCTGCTCCAATAAATATTTGAGGCTGAAATGATCAGTATGAACTTCAAATTTCTTCCCCAATAGATACTGCTTCTGTTTCTCCAAAGCTGACACCAAAGCAAGCAATTCCCAATAGTATGCAGATTTGTGACGCTTCGAAGAGGATAGTCCCTTGCTATAAAAAGCAATAAGGTGTCCTTGTTGTTGTAAAACAGCCCCTAATCCAATAGATGAAGCATCACATTCCACCACAAACACCTTAGTAAAATCAGGTAGGTGCAAAACAGGAACACTGACAAGAGCTTGTTTGAGTGCTTCAAATGCGTTTTTGGAAGTTTTAGTCCAGATAAAAGCATCCTTTCTTGTCATATCAGTGAGGGGTTTAGCAATTTGACCATACTGACGCACAAAACGCTTGTAATAACCTGTGAGTCCCGGAAATCCTCTTAGCTCAGAAATATTATTTGGCAGAGGCCAATTTACCATAGTAGCAACCTTTTCAAGATCCACCACCACACCTTCACGAGATATTTTGTGCCCAAGAAAAGCAATTCAGGTTGAGCAAAATGGCATTTCTTGGGATTGGGAAAGAATTCATGTTGCTGGAGCGTGTGCAAGACAATTCTCAGATGAGCCATGTGGTCAGTAAAATTGTTACTGTACATCAAAATATCATCAAAGAAGACCAAGATGAATTTTCTGAGATAAGGTCTGAATCAGTCATTCATGATAGCTTGGAATGTAGACGGTGCATTAGTTAAGCCAAACGGCATAACTATGAATTCATAATGCCCAGAGTGTGTTCTAAAAGCAGTTTTAGGAATATCATTTTCCAGAATTCTAATTTGGTGGTGGCTAGAACGGAGGTCAATTTTTGAAAAGAATGTGGCACCATACAGTTCATCAATTAATTCATCAATGTTTGGTATGGGATACTTATCTGGAACTGTGATTTTGTTTAACTCCTTGTAATCCACACAAAACCTCCATGAAGAATCTTTTTTCGGAACTAACAGTATTGGACTAGCATATGGACTCACACATGGTTGAATAAACCCTCTACTCAATAAGTCTGCTACCTGTAACTCCATCTCATCTTTCTGATAGTGAGGGTATCTATATGGTCGGATGTTTGGAGGGACAGAACCTGGCAATAAAGGAATGGCATGGCAGTGATTGTGGACTGGAGGTATCTTTCTGGGATCTTCAAAAACTTTGGAGTGGTGTTGCAATATCTGTTGCAGACATTGTGCATTCCATGTAGTAGAATCCACGCAACTAAAACTGTTCAGAGTAGCCGTGTTGTTAGACTGAGGCAAATTTCCTTGTAATTTGTATTTTCTGCCATTAATTCAAAAAATCATGTACATCTTCTGCCAGTTAGCCTCTACTGTGTTGAGAGAAGCAAGCCATTTAATTCCTAACACCATATCAACTGCTCCAAGCGCAAATGGCAAAAAGTCATCTCAGATGGATCTGCAAGTGATTAAATTTCCATTACCAATCTACACTCCAAATGGAGGAACATGTTCTGTTGGAAGATTTAATTCAGTAACAATCTGATCAGAAATGAAGTTGTGAGTTGAACCACTGTCAATGAAATCAACTTCCTAGTAATAATTCCTGGGACTTTCATGGTAGTTGCTGTCGTGCCACCAAGAATGGCATGGAGGGAGATTTCCGCCACACTAACTTCACTCATATTAACTGGCTCCTCACTCTTAATTTATGTAACTTTATTTTCTTTAGTGATCTCCGTAAGTTTGAAAGAAGATGCTCTGCAACAGTAGCCGGGAGAAAATTTGTCCCCATATTTAAAACAGAGACCTTTATCCCTGCGTAACTGCCTTTCATAGTCCGAATTTTGTGGAGTAGTGGTAATTGCTAGAGAAGTTGGTTTTTGCATCCCAAAGGATGAGATAACTGCCAAAGAAGTAGGTAGGCCTACATTCGGTAATTGCCTTGCGCTAAAATTATTTTTATTCTTAGTGCCACGTGTCCATGAAGTATGCTGACTAGAACGACTATAACCCTGAGAAAGTAGTTTGGTTTCAAACTTCAATGCCGAACTTGCAGCTTTGTACATTGTTTTGGGTTTTTGAATTTTAACATCGTATTGTAGTTCTTCTTTCAGCCCATTTATGAACACACCTAGAAGACAATATTCAGGCCACCCATGAACTCTAGAAGCTCTTCGAATGAATTCTTGCCTATATTCTTGAACAGTACCCACTTGTTTTATACACAAGTATATGTCAGGATTTTGGAATTCTGCAGGGCCAAAGTGCTCCTGAAACACTTGTATTAGATCGTCCCAATAGTTAATCGTTCTCCCTGATGCAACCCATGTAAAAACATCAAGAGCATCTCCCTCCAGATTCATCGCTGCAACTTAAATCTTTAATTCTTCCAGAGTTTGATAATACCTGAAATACTTTTCTGCCTTCATAGCCCATCCTTGAGGATCCCCACCATCATACTTAGGAAATTCTACCTTAGTATGAGGTCTTTTACTAGGATTCTTGCTCCACCACGGGTTTTCTGCTTCATAATCTGCATTCTCTACATAATGTATATTTCCTTGAGGTCTGGGGGTTACAGATTCTTTTTGTTTCCTTAGTTCAGACATCTCAACATCCATCTGATTAAGTTTAGCTACAATGATCGATAATTGCTAAGAAAGTTGTTCTTGATTTGAAGTTGCCTGTCGTTCATTCAATGGGATTTCCTGATTGTCTTCTGAAGTCAGGGTAGGAAGCATGGGAGGGAAATTAGAGTCATTCTTGTGAGTATTCACCATTTTACCACCACAGCCCAAGAATTATAAAGCTCTGATACCAAAATGATAGAAACAAGATAGGAAAGGAAATTTAGAGAAAGGAAAGAAGAAAAGATGAGGAACTAGAACCAGGATCTGAAATTCTAGTGAAGGAAAAAAAGAGAGAGTGTTTACTGAATAATATTTTATTCATACTGATAGTCCTTACATAATAGGCTTATATAGCCAAACACATAGCCCATAATAACTGACAAATAACTTCTAACACTTGGATAAACATGAAAGACAGGAAAAGTAATAACTGCTTGCACTTGCTGCTTAAGACAACATTAACTAATAAGAAAACTACCCCTTGATCCCATTTTTCTTCGTGGCATAAACCAAGACTGGACACTTGTTCCTATCACAGAATCAATAGAGACATTATAGTGTGCTTCGAGTTGTTATTCACTTTTGATGCAGAATGAATTTCACTAAACAATTTAAATTACTCTTTTATAAGCTTTGGGTTCTTTTTAGTGAAGAAGCTAACAACTGAAGGCAAAGTTCTTGCATGCCCGATTTTCATTTTTCTTTGGCTACTACTGATCCTCATTGCCGTAACTAGAGCTGCAGTGGCTATGGCTGTATATCATACACCCGCAAACAATATTAGTACATATTCTTTGAGATTTCAGTAGTTCATGACTAAATGACTAACAATGCCCTTCCCAAAAAAAAAAGACTACTAATGCTAATATTGATAATTAAGCAATTTGTGAAGATTTAAATTTGTTCTAATCATTTATTAAGAGTCATTTTTTTTTTTTCCTATGTTGTAATCATTAAATTTCTACCATCATAAATCAAAAGAATATTGTACTCCCACCGATACTTATCCATGAATAAATGCATGTGTGCATCTTTGAGAATGGTAGCAACACATATATAGGTGTAACTCCTTTTTCGTTTTTATATATAAATTTCTTGCAGGGCTTATGTGAACAGGCAGTTAAGGTGCTGCAGATCATGGAAGCAGAGGGAATAGAACCAAATATTGTCATGCTCAATATGTTAATCAATGCATTTGGTAATGCTGGGCGATATATGGAAGCATTGTCCATATATCATCACATAAAAGAAAGTGTATGGTCACTTATCAATTGCGGAAATATTTGGTTGGGTACATTATATTTTGGCAATTTACTAGGTTTTTAAATCCTGATGGTAATGCTTCTATTTTTATGAAGGGTGTGAGTCCTGATGTGGTTACATACACTACACTTATGAAAGCATTTATGAGGGCAAAGAAGTTTGATGAGGTGCTCCTAATTCTGAACTCATTTTCATTTGCATCTTTTTCCCCCTAAGAGGCAAAGCTGTTTGTGATTCAATTGATTTCTAGTAAAATTTGAATTGGTTATTCTCTGGGAAACAAGAAACAAAAAATCATACTACAAGAAGGCCATTTGATCCTATTGACACTTCCATTTTTATATGTTCATGCTGGAAATATTCTGACCAGGTTCTAAAAATTTACGAGGAAATGGAGTTTGACGGATGTACTCTAGACAGAAAGGCTAGACAGATGTTACAAAGCGCATTAATGGTGCTTGAAGGAAGACCCACGGGTGACTAATAAAACCTCTCGGGTTGAGATTAATGAGTTGTTAGATGGGTCGGTTAAGGGTCCATATGGAAGTATAGTGGCATCCATTGACCGTTTCATGATCATTCTGGAGTTTGAACCAGTATTGCTCAAGTGAAGGTAAGCTTTCTCCTTTTTAATCATTGTATTTGGCATGCGCTGGATTATCTGGAAACATAGAATGACAAATTAAAGTGTATGCTTTTCTGCAATGTCCGGGCCTTCAATCTTGTGTTTGCAGAATGGGATCGATGCTTCTAGCATGTTGAAAGTGCATTGCTTACCATTTAGCTTAAATATACTTTTGAACCCTCTGATTTCAAAGGATGTTCAAAGACCCCCTTAGCTCAAAAGTAGGCAGTGTAACCCTTCAAGTTTTTTGAATGATCAAAATTTTCCCTCATGTATCATCACATTATATCTGCTGATTTTAACATTAACTTTGATGTTGATACATGAGAATCAGGGGTAAAAGGGGTAATTTGGGTCATATTAAGTCTATATATAGGAGTCTTGAGGTTTGTAACAAGTGTCTAGTGAATACAGTTTTGCTGTTTACTCTATTTTCCTTCTTCTCTCTCTGTTTACCTCTAACAAAGGTATTAGAGCCTTTGTCTGGTTAATGGTGCTACTACCGGACATTCGATCTTCTGCACGCATTGATGAATTGGAGCATCGACTTGAGCTCCAGCAAGCCTCCCTTGATGCTGTTCACTCACACTTGGACCAACACACTCGAGCTATCAATGATTTGAAATTATCGGCAACCAGGGTGGATGAATATCTCCAAGTTCTTATTGCTCAAATCTCATCTCTCTCATCGGATCCGGCCACTAATTCAAGCGATGGGGGATTTACCTCTATTCTGCTCATCAAATTATATGATAAAAATGGAGATGAAGCTAAGAACGTTTCGAATCTACATGAAATCATTTCAACTGAAAATAAAATAATTGACAATGATCATATGGACAGCATGACACATGAGAAACAGAACATGGAAGCTGATGGAGAAACAATGTTGGAGTCAAAGGCTAACAAGAAAGTTGAAAGAGTTGAAGACACTGGTGTGATTTCAAAACTCACACTGCCTACTGATGACAAGTTGATCAATCTCAACAACGAGACATTGGACAAAGCTATAAAAGACTCATCTCAACATGACAAGTAGCTACAGTCATGAATGTCAAGACTTAAATCGATGAGGTTGAAGCAACTAAAGTAGTTTGTGCGAATGATAAGAAGATAGGAACGGATCAACAATTGAAAGAACCAGTGCCTCTGCTTAGTCACTCGAGTGATGATGGATTCCACCGTCATGGGATCCTCTATCTTCATCAACAACTTTTCCTAGCAAAACAGCTGTTGTACTAGCGGCCTAGCCAAGAACGCGAGCTTGCTCTTGGTCGAGATCGCAAATCAACTTGGCTAGTTGTTTGTCAGATTGGTGATTGAGTCGTTTAGGGCATTGATGATATTGGGCCCTAAACTCAACCTAACTGCAGAAGGTCAGCCAACCCTAGAACAGACCACATTGCAGAGCCCAACTATGTCCAAGGCATCCAATATTTCATCGTCTACGTTCTCTACAAATACTCTTCTGCCTACGTCTTCTTTGTATCTTATGAAGCCCACAAAGTCAATTTCATTCATCGAAGAGAGGAAGAGAGCACAAAGGTTGAATGTATTATTGTCCAACACTACTGCTGATGCAAAGTTTTTCATTAGAGGACTGGCAAACACAGGCTGAACTATTCACTAACGAGCTCACACGAACTCTAATGCATTCACCGAAGATGTTCACATTATTCTACAACTCGAGGGGTTGCGATCACAAGACTAAAAACGAAATGTTGATTACTGACGATCGAGATCAGTTTATCAAAAACGGAGATGGTCTTGCATCTAGGGTAGGTAGGGCTGTTGTTGAAATGAGGTTAGACGCATCTATTAAAGAGGTTCACAAAATACTGAATTTTGTTAGACTGATAGAGGGTATAGAATTGGGTCTGTTAGAGCTTTGGATTAAGGTCGAGGCAAAAGTTATGGCGATTGAAGGAAAGGGACTCTGTTTCTATCAAAATCAGGGAAGGTGTGTTTGTGGGTTGGTGCATGACCATGGCTATTGTAGCTATGGTTTTAGTCGTATTCCTGCTCTTATTAGCCTCTGCATTTGCTTCCAGGTTGGATGGTACTATGCATGAAGGTGTTTGTGTTCAAGAAGATTGGCTTCTGGGGTGGCTAATGTTCGTTCTGCGTGACAACAAGAAGGACTCTATAAAATGTGGGCTTAACAAGGGTGTTGTGATTGCCATTTATCTGGATGAGGTTTGGGCCTCTAACGTATATGGGTCTAAGATCTTTTGGAGGGGTGTAGGGCATCCAGTTCATAAAGCTTCTACAATGGAGGTCATATGGGCTTACATGGAACTGAATGATGGGGCTTTTGGACTGAAGAAGACTACAGCATGTTTGGATGTCCACTAATTTATAAAAAGAAAAAAGTCTTATTCTAAATCTATGTTTTATTTTCTGCTTTTGTACTGATCCTCGAGAACATGGATCTCTTGTTGGGGGGGAGTATATTGATACATGGGAATTAGGGGTAAAAGGGTAATTTGGGTCATATTAAGTCTATGTATAGGAGTCTTGGGGTTTGTAACAAGTGTCTAGTGAATACATTTTTACTGTTTACTCTATTTTCCTTCTCTCTCTATTTACCTCTAACAGATGTTATTTATTTTGTCAGCACCATTAACTGAAACTTGGCACCCAAGTTAGAAGATTCTTATGTTTGGCATTGAACTCTTTTTTTTTTTTTTTTCTGGGATATGTGACATGAGGACAAAGTTGGATCATTTCATAGTTTTGACAATAAATTAGACACTAGTTTTCATGCTTTGCAGAGGGGTCTGTTGTATTATTCACGTTTTATGAATAGTGTGACTTATTATAGGGTCTATATTTTTGCATTGATGATGTGTAAATTGTTTGCTTCTAAACCAGTTGGACGAAACTGAAATTTCGGTAAATCTAGAGGGGACCGAAAGTGCATCCCGGCCTTCCACTTAAATCATTTCTAGAAGCTTGACCAGGGTTTTGTATCACGTGTTCATGGCGCAGTCAACTTGAAGGTAGAAAGTTGATGGGGAACGGTTAACAATGGTTGGCATTTTTCCCCCGCCGTTATACATCTTTTAGAAGGTTCTTCTCATGGCTGAGTATCTTAGTTGATCGATCCTAATTTTAAGACTTGGGTTTAGTAGAAAATTTATTGATTGCGAATGATTCAATATAGTTCTTCCTTTACCCGTGGCTGTGTTGGAATTCCCATGTGAATTAATGTGGCATTGCACACAGAAGTGGAAGCTTGCAGCTATCAGGATGTAGAGGAGGCTTTTTGGTTGTAAGGATGAAGAACCTTTCACCCTCTATGTATAATATCCATTAATTTTGTGCAATTAATTTTTGCGAAGATGATTTTTTTTATCTGTAACATTATTATATTTATTAGATGTGGGTCCTACATATTGCGTGAAATTCGAGGTAAGCTAAATTGTTTATAAATTATGCCTTTAATGATTGAAGGGGAAAATGGGTTAAATCTCTTATTTGCAACTAAACCAAACTGTTTACAAATTCATGAATACAGGTGCAGTACGGATTTAATTTCTTTCATTTTGTGCTGCCTTTAATTATTGAAAGGGAAAAGGGGTTAAATTTTTGGGACAACTAAACCAAAATCTCTTATTTGCAATTTTATTGAATAGGCTGATTAGATCTAGGCTAAACATGTTAGAGAAGTCTGTATAATAAAACATAAAATAGATTTTTCAAAGATTATGGGTGTTTGCCAAACAAGCTTCGTTGTGCGAGGTTCAATCCATATCACTATTACACTTTATTTTTTTATTTTAATCACCATGAATGAAAATGTTAATATTGGTCTTTAATATAGGATTTTATTCGATTTTTATTTTGGTTCTAAATATAGGATTCTAATTTATTTTGTTTCTCATATTTATGTATTTTTTTTCAAGGTCATTCTTCTAACAATAGTAGTTCTAGTCAATATGGTTGATTAATAAGGATAATTTAAAAAAGATAATATTTATTTATTACAAATAATTAATTTAATTTTTTTTCTTACTCTCTTTAAATGAGTCAACTAGCTTTCAGGTAAGTATAGGAAAGAAACAAGTAAAGTTGCTCATATTCATTAGGTTAAGTTTTTAAATTACACATGGTCATGTGTCTTTTTTTTTGTTTTATATAGATTTATAATTAAATATTATTAAATGCTAATATTTAAAAAAAAAAAGCAAATACAATTTATAGTTTCTCAGGTTTGCTTTTATTTTTGTTTTGGTTCTTCAAATTTTAAACCATAGATTTTAATCCCTCAAGGGGCAAAATGATTTAAATTTTTATTAGATTATAGGGATTGATATTTTAAATGAAATAAAACTTGAAGGACTAAAATCAAAATGAGATTAAATTTGAGAGAGCAAAAATTATATTAACTTTTTAAAAAATAGGATATATGGTTATGTATGATTGAAAAACTTGACACAATGGATATAAGAAGCTTGACGTAAGTATTCTTAAGTATAACCTTTGTTTCATAGAAGAAAAAACTAGATCAAACTGGCGAGTTCAACTGGAAAACTAGTGAATTAGCTAGTGATCCAATTTAGTTCAAGTGCTAAACCAGCTGAACCGGTGAAAACCAGCAAAAATCAGTGTGAATCGGTTATAAACCAGTTTAGATAATTATGTTGCTATTGGTCTTATTTTTCTCATTCAGCTCTTAATATCTCAATTACTGTAGATTTGAATGAATTTTAATGATAATTTTAATATCAATAATTTATTGAGGAATTGTAAATATTAAAATTCTCAATGTTATTGTGGTTTATTATTGTTACAATCAAACTATTATTGTATCTCTTTATATTTTGTTGTTATTGATTATTAATGTTGTTATATTTTGTTATTTTTAATTAAACTATATTATTTTAATATGGCTGGTTTTACTTCGAGTTGATCCTAGTCTGACTCATTGACCATTGAACTACTATCTCAATCAGTTTGTATTCAATTCGATTTTTTGTTCCTTGCTTTGTTTTATATTAGGAATTTGGTTCCATATTTGATTTCTTATTTCTTACTAAATTATCATTTTTTTTATATTAATAAAATAATTATGTAAAATGTATTACATGCTTATGTTTACAAGTTTTGGGATTGATTTAACCATATAACTTTATAAAAATATAAAAACAACTTGAATTTATTTTATAAAATTTTACTTTAAAAATACAAAAAAATTAAAAATATTTTTCTCCCCTGAGAAGTCTGTCAATCCATATATAGCAGGTTAGGTTGGAAGCGCTAAAAGGTGGACCAAACCCGCAATTCATGTCAGGCCAACCCACAACCCAATAATGTGATCCTTCTCCTTCGCATATATACTTAAAAAGGAACAATAGGCTTAGAGGAAAGACAATTTCTTTTTGAGTAAAACCAATCTGTTTTGCTTTAATTATGCAGGCTTTTTTCTATTTTAAAAATATACATTTTAATTCAAATCATTAGCATTGTTAAAGAATATTTTGAAAATATTTTTTTTATTAAAAATCATATTAGAATAAATCTTGTTTACTAATTTACCCCTTATACCAAATCTCTTATTTATCTTTAACATTAATTTTTTGTAACCATCTATTTAATATTTTTACTAAATTTAGACAAATTTAAATAACTTACACATTAACGGATTTATAAAAAATTTGAGAAATTTTTTTTTAAAAAATGTTTTTTATGAAACACATTTAAATTTTTTCAATTGTAACATATTAATGTAAGAATCTCAAAATTATATCATTTTATAATTTTATAATTTAATTGAAAATACATATATATTATTTTTTAAAAATTTCAACCAACGCATATATTTAAAAAATTACATCATAAGCAAATGTTAATAACTAAAGGAGTTTAAATATTTAAATTTATTGAAAAATAATAATTTATATTGATTTAACATTATAACAAAAGATCTTAACATATTTATTTAAAATATTTTTAATTTCATATACAGATGTGTCATATGTGATTAAATAATACTCCTTCGGTTCTTAATATAAGACCTAATTGTTGAGTTGATTTTGATCCTAAATATAAAACTTATTTTTTATATTTATCAATTTTTCTTAAATTACTCTTATGGATATTCCCTCAACTATGATCAGATAGAAGAAGGAAGGAGGATATTACGAAGGATGATTATGGTGTTTTAGGAAAAACATGTCATATTTTGTATAATTAACTAACTTACCTAACTTTTTTAATATAATCAAATTAGTTAAATAGATTTTATATTAATGACTGAAAGAGTAATTATTAAGTAATATTTGTGTTAAGCAGGGCTATTTTGGTTAAAATAATAGGTCAACACTATGGTTTAACAGTCAACTAAATGAAAGCTAAATCTCAAAACTAAAAAGAAGGTTTGTACAAGATATATTTCAATTTTAAGAAAGATCCACATAGATTTTCAAACTTAAAGGAAGGTTTCTATAATTTATGTTAAATAGAAGGAAAGTTGATGTATTTTACTATTCCTTTTTTTATTGAAATATTCTATATTTTGAGCCTAGTTTACTTAGAGTTAGTAATATGAGTTAAGCCTATGGGTTTGACCCATCAAAAAATAGCCAGCTGAGTTGGCAAAATGTGAGCTCATTTAGAGGTAGGTCTTTTAAACCTGCAACCCACTACGAGCTAGCTCGCTTTATATATATATATATATATATATATATAGTTTTTATTTTAGCTTTGTATTTTGTAAGACACTTTGATTCTAAATTTAATTTCTCATTTTTTATTATTTATATATTAATAAAAAACTATTAAAAATAAATTATATGCTTATGTTTGCAAGTTGAGGTTAGTTTAATTATATTATTACATAAAAATATGTAAATAAGTATAAAGGTTTGTAATTGCATTTGAAAATTTAAAAATATACATGTAAAAAGTATAAAAAGATTTTTATAAAAAATAAATAGGGTTAGCTAGGCCAAGTTGTCAACCCACTCCTGACAAGCTCTGGTTGGTTGAATGTCAACTGACCAACAGACAGTTCTTCTTTTAAGACCGACTTGTATCGGCTCTAGATAGTAGGAGGCTGGGACATTACCAATATACAACCAGCATATGAAAAAAAAAAAAAAAAATTGGTACTCGTGACTTCCAATTAATTTGGCATTAAGCTGCGTCAAAATGCACTTGATCACGTTCTTATGAAAGAAATATCAGACATGAAAAAGGCATTGTTACTGTCTTAATCCTATACAACCATTTGGTTTTCGATGACAAAAAGTGAACTATTTTGGAGGTTTAAAATTTTTTTCAATATTTAATTTGGTACTTATATATATATTCTCTTAATTAAATCTTTAATTTTGCTGTATTAATATTGTTAACCCTTTAAAAATACTAATAGAACAAAATCACAAGAGCTAATGTTACTAAAAAGATAAAATTAAACGAGTTAATTGAGAGGAAAATACACAAAGGTACCAAATTAAAAATTAAAAAAAAAAACATATAGATACATCAAATACCATTTTCCCCCCAACGTTCAATTCTATTATTTTCAACTAATTCACACATTAAAATCAGCTACTTCCTTCAATCCTAAATATATGAACAAAACGATCAATTCTATTATTTTCAACTAATTCACACGTTAAAATAAGCTACTTTCTTCAGAAACTAACTTTTTGTTCAAACAAATATAGGAATTAACCAATTCACAGTGATTAAAAAAATAATCAGAATAGTTATTTGTAAAAAATATTACTCTTCCGGCCCTTAATATAAAACCCATTTAACTAATTTAATTAGATTAAGAAAGTTAGGTAAGGTAGTTAATTATAAAAAATGTGACATGTTTTGCTGAAACACCATAATCATCTTTCTTAATATCCTATCTTCCTCTCCTACTTGATTATGGTTGAGGGAATATTTATAGTGGTAATTTAGAAAAAATTAATAAATATGAAAAATTAATCTTATATTTAAGACCAAAACCAACTCAATAATTAGGTCCTATATTAAATACCAGAGGAGTATATTGATTTTCTGAAAATACCCTTTCCACTTATTTGCATCAACACTACCTTTTAATACACACACAATTAGTAAAAATAATTTTAAAAAATTATAAATTCGAGAGACATGATACATTAATATTTTATATTTAAAACCAAAATAAACCTTACAACTAGCTCGTACATTTAGAATGGTAATACTTTTAAAACTTATCTTACGGTTTTGAAGATACTTTCATTTCAATGCAATCAAATATAACTTTTTTTGTTGCGTACAGGTATCATGGATACTCATATCTCCACCATAATAATAACATCCACACCAAAGACATTATAAAACAATACTAATTGCTTTGTAAATTTTACAAAAAGACACAAGTAGAAACAAATTTCTAGAAGACAACACATAAATAGTGACATATGAATTAATATTTATTATGTCTATTATTATCTTTTTGTTTTTTTTTCTTTTTGGGGCCAGCATTATGTCTCTTAGTATCAATCAATATATCAGATACAGAATATTTATATTTACATTTTCATTTTATTTTTCTTTCTTTTCATTTTATGTATTAGACATACTTTCGCATCTAGGTACTTCCCCTAACTTGACATTTTTACATAACTAGGAAAATTATTATATAAAGTTTCCAAATTTTGTCAAATAAAGGGAAAGAAAAAACTGAGAAAACAATGTCAGCAACATTATAGTAAATTAGTAATGGTTAATTATTTTGTAATTACAGAACCCAGTAAAGTTCTTATGTCAGATAAATTATAATGCATAGATTGTAAAGAGTGGATAGAAGGATACAGAGTAGGGAGTAACATTACTGCGTTGAATCTGACTGCATTGCCTGGATTGGAGGAGCTGTGACTACAGTCAGCTTCATGGCTTCAGAATCGCCAGATTTCTCACAAATCTCTCTGTACTCTTGACAAACGGCACACATGTGGCAGAAAAAATGGGTAACAAAATCTCCACAGGGTGCCTCCTTTGGAAAAGTGGAAACAAGAAACATTAGTATAGCATTGAAACATCACAATCGAACTTTAGTAGTCAAGCTAATTTTAAAAAGTTTCAATTATATTCCTCCGGTCCTTAATATAAAATCTAATTGTTGAGTTGATTTTGATTCTAAATATAAGATCTATTTCTCATATTTATCAATTTTTCCTAAATTACCCTTATGGATACTCCCTCAACCATAACAAGTAGAAGAAGGAAATGAGATATTAAGGAAGATGATTATGGTGTTTTAGAAAAAACCTATCATTTTTTATAATTAACTAACTTATTTAACTTTCTTAATTTAATCAAATTAGTTAAATAGGTCTTTTATTAAGGACCGGAGGAGTATAAGATTCCCCTGAACTTAGAACCATGCACACAGCCTCCTCAACTTTTAGAGCTTAATAATAAAGCCCTAAACTGTTTAGTCTATGTAAATAACGTCAAACTATCAATTTTATATTCCTTTAAACTTTGTTTTTGGTACGCATATAGCCCCTTCAACTGAGTTATATGAGGGATACAAACTGGAGGTAAAAAGCAATTGAAAGATACAGTCATTGGGGCGCTAAGGCAAACCACTAAGCAACACAGGAAGACTTAATTCCGACTCAATCTTAACTTCTTTTGTAAAATTTCCTCAAATCTCACTTATTTCTGACTTAAGTTCCTTTGTAAGAGTGTGCCTCAAATATTGAGAGTTCAAAAGACAAAGCTCTCAGTAATTAGATGCAGCCAAGCTTAAGGGTTTCTGGGAGATTGATAAAATGCTTAAGGAGTTCTGGGAGATTGATAGAATGCTTCAAGGTTGCAGGGAAAAGTTTGAAATATGAAAAACTTGAGATGGTACGAAAGCAGAACATGCAATAAGACTCTGGGCACACAAGGACATATCACCAAGGTCCAACAGTCATGGAACTTTGGTGCAAGGAGACATGGCATTCAAATTCTCAAAAGGTCTCTTACATTTGTTGTCCAAGTGGTGGATTCAATCAACATTTTCAGAAGAGTTTAGCCATAAGGCCCCAGCTAAGAACTTTATCGGATCAAAATCAAATTCACAATCAGGGAACAGCATGCAGCATTTACTGACCAATATTTTTCACTATTCAAATCTTAGCAGTTAGTCTCATAAAAAGAACCAAATATTACTAAAATCAAATGCTTTTAGATTAGAAACCTAAATGAAGAAGTATGGACTCCTAAAAGAATGTCAAATAGAGCAAAATATCAAGTAATGAGATTATATATGGAGAACATATACCGGCAAATTATACTTTGACCTTAAAGTCCTGCGGTAGCCACAAGCATATGAGGCAACAAGGCATCCAGGTAATCCCAAAACCAAGCCATCGGTTAATAAGCAGCAGGTGGTATTAACAAAAGCCCACAATATAAAATGGGTTAGACATGACCCCATGAAAGTTCCAGACCCCAGAAATTCTGCATTCTTTCCAAAGAGAATACAGGGACAAAAGAGACCTACACAACCTGCAATGATAACAGAAGTTGGCAGTCAACATTTGCAGTTGATAAACTAGATCTTCCATAGAACAAAAAGTTCTCTTTTTCCAAGGTTTGAAGCAGGAGAGGAGGGGAATAGAATCCCCAGTCAGCAGTACTCCATGAATTGAAGACCAGGCAAATGCTGCTGTTCTATGGGGAATAACAGCAAAATATGAGCTTTATATAACCATGGGAAAGGTATAATATATTAACATATATTCCCTCATTTACACAGTAATTTTTTTAAATATTAAAGAGATTTTATCAATATAGACAAAGATACGAGAGGAGGATTATGTTTTCTCCAAGAAGCAATAGCAAATAAAAATAAAGCAGATAATACAAGGGAAGAGAAGATAAGACATGCAGCATGCTAGTTAGGCCATCTACATATCCAAGAGACACTTCCTTAAAAATCCTTGAGCTGAACCCAAGGTTGCCGTTAACAAAATCCTTCTCTGACATCTAGAGACAACTAAACACGACTAAAATGCGGGCATTCCACTATAGTCATCCATTCCACATCATTATAAGTCATGAACATTGGGACTTGTCAGACTCCATACAATGCACATGGCCCACACCTAATTACTGCATAAACCACATATTGCCGCCAAGTTCCACCATTGTTTTTTAGGGCCGAAACACTTGAAACATACAAGATTAAATTGATCTAATCCTGCAGACATGCCCAATTCTCCGAAGATCTCAAACAATTTATTCCACAAGAAGATAAACACATTACAACATCAATGTACAAATTATCAGAATTTGATAAGTCCAATCTACACTTCTATAACAACATCAAAGCCTTATTCTACTAAGTGGGATCAGTTACATGGATGATACCATTGAGCTCTATCCAAGACCAATTTGTATTTATATTTTCAAATATATTATTAGTTTTTTTTTTTTCTTTCCTTGAATTGGATATATTATTAGTTGAAAGATCCAATTTGTATTTATATTTTCAAATATATTTCTAAGGCCTTATCATCTATTTTGAGTTAACATCACTCAACTTAAACCTATTTTGAAATTAAATTGCTATTGAAGTTGAGTTAAATAAATAGATAGCTTCAAGTTATTGTATAAACCTCCTCCCCAAACCAAAATGAGAAAAATCAGGTCTTGAGTTTTTTGGAGGTTGGAACATGCAAGGAGATTAAGTCCCCAAGAATGAGTTTTAAACGAAGGCAAACGAGAAAGAAGGGAAGAGAAAAAATTGAGATAGGATCATTAGGAGCCCAATCAACGAGTTTCCAGAGCTTGAAGTCAAAGACTGCATCATATATCTTTGCAGCAGGTCAAGAGCTACATTGCCGAAATTCCAAGCCATGGACATCTAAGTCTGGAGTCACAGTGATGGTGCATCAGAGCAACCGTACTAACTCCCGCAAGTTTGGAGCCATGGTGCTGAACATTTCTTTCCTAGCTTGGTCAACCATTCTTGATTTTCATGTCTAAGTGAGCAACATAAATCTCATGCAACAGTAGGATGTTTTATTTTTCCTGTAACTCATGAAGTCCATGTTAAGAGTTCATTGCTTTTGTGATTATCTTTGATTGAAGTCATATCCAATAGGAAACTTTAATTTCAATTAGTTCCTGGTGAAATTAAGGCAAGATGCACCCAAATCATAAAATTTAAACAGTAGATTTAGCGGTTTTACATTAGAATAATTAAAGATGTAATAGAGACCATTGAGTCAATCAACCACTAGGTGCTTGACAAAATGCAACCTAGGTTGATTAAATGCATCTACTGAGACGCTTTAACTTAATAAGCCTTAAGAATCTCTTATTATTGACACATTTTAGGGTTTCTTCAACTTAAGTTGACGAGAGAGATTACAGCTAGAGCAGTATAACAAATTGATTGAGTGTTACCACCATAAGAATCAAGCTACACATTGTCAGTGGAGAATTCACCTTAACTTGGCAACTAATAGAGCTCACATTAAGCTCAAGAGAAGATACCACATCCTACTAGGTCCCTTTACTACTTTAAAACAATCGGTGCACTCATGAATAATGTTGGAAACAAAAAGCTTAACACTGAAAAAGTTACTTAGCTAATTAAGGAGCTCAATAGTGACAACCATTTAGCTTGCTTGCTTATCGTCTTGTCTCTGGTGAAAATCATATTATAAATTATGACAATAAATTTGCTCAAGATGCAATAGTTAAATGTGATAAAATCAGACAATGACATTTCCTCCTTCATCCACCAGCCAGAGCACCAGCATTGGTAGAAGCTAAAGCAACAATAAAACCCAAGGACTCAAAGAATGGCTAAAATATGATGCACAAAAGCAACCATGCCTCTAGGCATATTCAGAAACACGTATAAAATGCACAACAGAAGGAAGATAACCACGTAGAATTGCTTCATATTGATCATCACAAAGTAAATAATCATCTTATCGTCAAGAATAGAAGTGCATACATATCAAGAGTTGTAAATAAATGGCTAGAATATAAAATTCAAATCAAGAAAAATCATAGCAATTATAAAAAAAGGTTTCATAAATAAAGTATCTCAATTCACCTAATGAGCGAAGGGGGGGGGAAGGCAAACGCCAAAGCTTTAAATTCTTTTTTTTTTTTTTTTTTCCAGAAATTGGATAAAGAATACCACATAAAAGAAGAAATCTAACAACAAAAGTTTGAATTCTACGTCTCCTTTATCAATAAATTTAATGGTAGAGATGAAAGGGGAAAGAGTAATATATTAATCTAATCTTCCAGATGTCCAAATGCAAAAGAAAGTTTATTCATCTCTCTCTCTCTCTCTCCAGTTTTGTCCTTCCGCTCATTAGATAGATTTTACCACACAGATATCAACCTTCTAGCTTCCCTATTCACTCTTCATCTCAGAATGAACTTTTCTTCAACTCCCAATGCTAAGATGGCCTCTCTAGTTTGTTATTAAAAAATCCTTGAGATAAATCATCTCCTTTTTGGTTCTCTTTAAAATTTCCGGTTGGAAAACTCTCAGTTTTCGTTCTTCTAAAGGGCTTCTGGCCATTTACCTTCTTTATTATCAATAGTGAAGAGCCAAAATAAAATAATCGGAGAAAAATGGATACACTCAATGTAAATAGAACACTTCTTTGGCATAGTTAGTTTTAATACTTGGATTAGATTAGATTAGTTAATTTTGAGTAGGCAAAAAAGTCATCTAATATTTCAAAAATTCAGCCTTAAAATTTCTTCATCAAAATTCAAAAACATTATATTACATATTAGATATGGATCTTTCAAAGTTACAAGATATTGTTCTTTTAGACATTTAGATATTTGTTATTTTTATCTTTTAATGAAGATACGTTATATTTAATAGGAAACATACAAAATTTAAATACCACTTCATTTTTAATCAGTTAGTTCAGTGAGTATTGGATTCCTGACAGAGACATTCAGAAATAGAACCAATTTAATTGGTTATCGCTAAACCTACTCTAATTAATCCCAATCTTAAAGTCAGTTGTGGTCATATTGAATAAATTCACTTTAATTGGAATTGGATCACTTGAATGTTCTCAACCCTGATTATGAGCATAAAAAATGATTAATTTTCACACAAATTAAATAGAAAGTTATTAATAAAATCCAACAACCTTACCAAAAGGATAAAGGTAAGTGCTGGTACGGGAATAGCAAGAAGAGAGAGAGAGAGAGAGAAGAGACTGGTTCTTTATTCACCGCCAACAGTATTACACGTGGGGTTATTTATAATCCTCCACACTTTGTTAGGAAGCTAACTACTATACTTGAATCAGTTACACTTGTTATTTCCTTTTGCCACGTAACAATACCCCCCCCCCCAAAAAAAGAATTATCATTATCCACAAGGATTGTATTGGTTGGAGACGTGACTGTAGAAAAATCAGGAAAATGCTGCTGTTATAAAGGTAAGGTCTTCCCAGGTAGCACCTTCAGGAGTAGCATGCTTCCACTGAATGAGAACCTGGGTAACAAGTAAATTGGATCGCTTCACAATTCTTCGTCCCAAAATAGCTTGAGGTTCTAAGATAAACTGCCCTTCATCGTCTTGCAAAGGCAAGCTAGTAGTCACGAGCGTCTTTGCCAACATATTTTTTTTAGAGAGATACATGCAATACCGGATGCATGCGAGTGGAAGCCAGCAATTGAAGTTCATAAGCCACTTGACCCACTCCTTTGAGCACCTTAAAGGGTCCAAAGTAACGTGCAACTAGTTTGTGTAGAGCCGAGTTGGTCAATAAGTTCCTCCTAAAGGGATGAAGCTTGAGGTACACTAGATCACCAACATTAAAAACCCTCTCATATCTGTGTTTATTTGCTTGCTGCAGCATTCTATGTTGGGCTTTATGAAGGTGACTCTTAAGTAGCTGAATAGTGAGCTCTCTCGAAAGACAACTTCGGTCCACAAGCTCATTATTAGAATCTCCAGCAATGTAAGGCAAATGAGTGGGAGGAGGGATACCGTATACTGCTTCAAAAGGTGTCATACCTATTGCAGAATGGTAGTTGGTACTGTACCATAATTCTGCTAAAGAAAGCCATTTTCCCCATTACTTAGGGAAGTCTCCTGTCATACAACGAAGATAGCACTCCAAGCATCGATTAAGCACCTCGGTTTGGCAATCTGACTGAGGGTGATAGGCAGAAGAATACTTTAGATTAACGCCATATAAGCGAAAAAGTTCCTTCCAAAACTTCCCACAGAAAATGGGATCACGATCAGTTACTACAGATTTAGGGAAGCCATGTAATTTCACCACATTATCCATAAAGAGAAGAGCTACATCAGAGCAGTATAAGGATGTTTCAATGCCATAAAGTGAGCAGCCTTGCTAAATCTGTCGACAACAACTAAGATAGTTGAGTTAGAATAGGACTTAGGTAACCCACTCATAAAATCCATGGATAAATCAGTCCCAATATGTTTTGGGATAGGTAAAGGCTGCAACAATCCAGGGGAAGCAATAGTTTCAGATTTAAACCTCTGACATATTGTACAGGCTCTAATAAATTCCCTGACATCAAGTTCCATACCCTTCCAATAAAAAACAGAAGAGAGCCTTTTGTAAGTAGGTGTCACTCCAAAATGGCCACTAACAAGACTAAATGAAAGAATTGCAGAAGTTCATCCCTTAATCTTCTATTGGCACCTACTACCAATCGGCCACAGTGCTTGAGCAAATCATGTTGCCAGGTAAATTTAGAATGAGATAAAGGATCTTTTTTGAGATCCTCAATGAGTTGCTATAGTTGATCATCTATAAGCCATGATTGTTGGACTTTTTCATGCAAGTCAATAGCAACGTGTAATGGCTGACAAAGAACCTTCAAACTTCCCAAATAATGCATCAGCTGCTAGGTTATCTTTGCCCTTAGTATAGATAATCTCATAGGTAAGACCCCAAAGTTTGTTAAGCCATTTCAGTTGATCTGGGGAAATCGATTTCTGCTCCAACTTTCAATGGCAAATGGTCAATCTTAATAGTGAAAGGCTGACCCACTAAATATGAACACCATTGTTTAACTGCAAAGATGATCGCCATAAGTTCCTCGTTCATATGCTAACAGAACTTGCTTCCTCTTACTTAATGGTTTGCTAGCAAAGGCAATCAGGTGGTTCTTCTGTGATAGCACTGCCCCCATTCCTGTATTAGAGGCATCAACCTTAACAATGAATCTCTCTTGGAAATTAGGAAGTGCCAAAACTGGGGCAGAAACAAGAGCATTTTTCAAAGTAAGAAAAGCTTCATTAGCTTCAGCAGACCATAGAAAAGGTTCACCTTTTTTGAGTAAGGCAGTCAAAGGTTGATATATGTTACCATAATTCTTCACAAAACGTCTATAGTAACCAATAAGACCCAAAAATCCTCTAACAGCTCGCACATTTGTAGGGGTAGGCCAGGATGATACTGCTGTAATCTTTTTAGGATCAACTGAAACTCCCTTGACTGAGATTAAATGGCCCAAATATTCCACCTGGGCAGCAGCAAAGGTGCATTTACTGGCCTTAACAAATAATTTATTATCGCTAAGAAGCTGCAGAGTCTAAGAAAGATGGTCTAGACAAGAGTCCCAAGAACTGCTATAGACCAAGATGTCATCAAAAAATACAAGTATAAATTTTCGTAGGAAGGGCTTAAAAACACTATTCGTTAAAGCTTGAAACATGGCTGGGGCGTTAGTAAGTCCAAAGGGCATGACTAAAAACTCGTATAACCCTTCATCAGTGCGAAAAGTTGTCTTATGAACATCAGCATCATACATACGCACTTGATGATAGCAAGCCCTCAAATCAAGTTTGGAAAAATAAGTAGCACCCTGTAGTTCATACAACAGTTCCTCTATTAATGGAATAGGAAATTTATTCTTAATAGTATGGTCATTTAACTGGCGATAATCTACACAAAACCGCCAGGAGCCATCTTTCTTTTGGACCAACACAAAAGGAGCAGCAAAAAGGCTATGACTTTGCCAGATAATCCAATTAAAGAGCATTTGTTGTACTTGACGCTCAATTTCACCCTTCTGAACAGGGCCGTAGCGGTATGGTTTACAGCTAATAGGGGCTTCAGGGTGGAGGTGTATTTGATGATCACAAGGGCGAGAAGGAGAAAGTGACTGCGGCTCCTCAAAAACATTGCTAAACTTAACCAAAATATTCTACAACTAGTCGTTCTGTTCCTCTGTCAACTTAGAATTTTCTGAAACACTCATTAGCTTGCCATCAGCTTCAAAAGAATTACACACCAGGAAAATGTGCTTAGCTAATGACATCCGCTTCTTGTAACAAGACCTCAGACAAGGCTGAGTTTAAAGGAGTAATTGCTGTTCCTGTTATCTCAAAGAATTTATCATCGAAGGAGAAAGCCATATAGCCCTTGTACAAGTCTAAAATAATCCAGCCTAATTTCTAAAGCCATTGAACGCCAAGAATAACATCAAATCCTACCAAATCCATTACTAAAAATTCATCAGAGAAGTCATGATCAACCATGGACCATGTTAACGATTGACAAAAAATGCTTGATAGTTAAGCGTCGCCCCCCCTGCCACAACAACTCTCATGCCAGGGCGCTCTTGAATAGGAAGGTGTAACCTCCTTGCCAAAGTAGCATCTACTACATTATGAGTACTACCTGTGTCAATGAGGATGATGACATTTTGTTTCTTAATGAACCCATGAATCTTCAAGGTAGAGCACTCTTCGTGACCTTCCACAGCGTTAATGGTCCCATCAACCTTATCTAACCCCATAAGGGTGTCTAAGTTGTCTGAAGCATCCAAAAAATCATCCTCAGTATCCTCCGATACTATGACCATCATAACCTGGGATTCCTTACACTTATGCCCCGTATAATACTTGTCATTGCACCAATAACACAAGCCCTTTTTTCTTCGATCTTCCATTTCCTTCTTACTTAAAGGCATGGCTGCTTTCTTGGGGATAGAAGTACCAGAATAAGTAGAAGAAGCAAACGAAGTTTTTAGGGATGAAGTGGAATTAAAATTCTTGGCAGAGGACGTACCAGTGACCAACGAAGACGAAGAAGTGACAAACGAAGATCATCGATTAGCAAAACTAGATGAAGGCGCATGGAGATACAAAGCTTCCAAAGTACGAGCTTGAATTCACGCCGTTTGCATCATGCTTGCTAGTGTGGTCGGCTTGAAGGCATCAACCAAAGATTAAATATCTGACCACAATCCTCCCAAGAAACAATCCATGGCCACTGACTCAGGAATGTCTACCTCAGCAAGCAAATCATTGAATTCTTCAATGTAATCATCAGCAGATCCAGTCACACAAAGTTTCTTGATTTTGACCACGGCATTAATGCTACACACATTCGAGAATTGTGCTTCCATCTCTTGAAAATACTCATTCCAGGATAATTTTGCCTCCGACTTCTTCTTGATGAAGTTCAAGTGCCATTTCAGAGCCTTCTTCTCCAAATGGATGCTAAGCAATCGGATTCTATGCTCCATCAGTGTATCGTCAACGGCAAAGAATTGTTGGCAGCAATATGCCCAACCCTAAAATCCGTATAATCAAAACGAGGTAATTCCATCCGGCTATTTCTTGTTGGAGGAACATATGTCAATGCCGATGGTGATCCAAAGGTGCCGAAAACAAGAGGGTTTGGGAACGATTGGGAGTAACCGAAGAACTGCCAGCCTAGTCGTGACCGGTCAAAGCCATCCCTGTGAGCTTAGTCGCCAAATCCCCAATGCAAGCTTCAATTCGAGCAATGGAGCCCTTGAGAGCCATGATGTTAGCTGCATTTTGATTTAATCGAAGGTGCTCAAGTCGCTGCTCAATAGTTGAGAATTGGTCCATTGATCGCGTCTCCGGCATGGCGCCGAATTGATGGCCTGATACCAAATTGGTACAGGATAGCGAGAAGAGAGAGAGAGAGAGACTAGTTCTTTATTCGCTGCCAACAGTATTACACGTGGGGTTATTTATAATCCTACACACTTTGTTAGAAAGCTAACTACTATACTTGAATCAGTTACACTTGTTATTTCCTTTTGCCACGTAACAAGTGCATATTGTGCCTATTTAAAACATTTTTGTATGCATCTAAAAAACAACATAGGGAAATGGACCAATGATTGCTAGTAAGATGATTGTTGGAAGACGCGTTGGGCCATCTACTTAAGCCCAATAGGTTTAAGTAAACCTAGCTTAGACCTAATTAGAATAAGTCAGATTTAGTAATTATTCTCTTGTTATTATTCACATTATCTTTTCCTGATTTCTTGGTATTACAGATTGTCCTCAATTCCTTATATATGTACACTAGTCGCACCAGTGAGTAACAGAGTAATTCTCTCCTATTGATTCTGAGTCAACAATAATGATTTAAATACCGTTCTGTTTAAATGAGCATTTGCTTCATTTGGAACCAGATGCCTTGTGAAATCAACAACAGTGTCCCTTTCGTCAATGGCTCTGATTTTTTTTTTTAATGGTTAAATTTAGATGAATTCAATAAATATTAATGATAATTTCTGGAAAACCCATCCATATAAACAAATTATTAAGATGGGCTATTTCAATGAATGAGCTGGATGGGTAATGGATAGGTTTTACCATCCCACAACATAATGAGCAACTGAAATTTTCTGAAGATAAAAGCCTTATTATAAGTAAGATCTAATTTCATCAAGTGAATCACAGTCTCCTCCTAATGAACCGGTTAAAATTAGAAAACAAAAGACCTAATGCACATTAAGAAACAAAGAACAAACGCATGACCAAAATTTCTTAAGCATACTTCAGTTGCACCTTTTTAATAATCGCTTCTACTAAATGAGGATCACAGGGTAAGGAAGTAGCATACAGCTCTGCATATCATCACAGCAAGCACAGATCCCAGAAGACCACTGAGTCTGCATCTGATTTGATCCATTTTTACTAGGATTTTCTTCATTGAGCTGATGCTGAGAAGCTAGTGCATCCACTGAATCTGACTGTCCCAAAGGAATGTAAGCTGGTGGCACATAACCACGTTGGTTTGTCATATTGCTTCTGCAATTTTAAAAAAAAAAAAAAAACTCACTCAAATTACTTCCTCCGCATGGCACTCCAGTCTCCATTATCACCGAAAAAACAAATAGTGGAAAGAATAATTTCTAGATTGAATACCATAGAAATAATAAGAAAAACAAATAATAGAATTGGATTACAATCCACTGTAACATAAATGCTTGTTTCCTTTTTAATCATTCCCTTCAATTTGAGTTCAGAACTAGAACCATTCAGGATTCAACCTATATATAAAATTTCAAATTTGGAACATTTTTTGTGTGTGTGTGTGTGTGATTGTATTTGTTCAATTCGGGATGGATAATACCCATTCAATGAACAGCGTAAAAACATTTAATAAACCTAAGTTGGACAAATCCAAAATGATAAGCTCCTGCAATCAATAAAGCCATCTAGCTCCATTTCATCTTTGTGCCCTGGTCCATATTCGCATAAAACATGATTTTACCATAAAATAAGTTGAACTTCATCAAGTAAGTCATCGGGTTCCAGTTGTCAATCCATCTGACCCATGGACTGATTAGAACAATAGAACCCCCATATGAAACTTCAGCACTTGTATCTATGAAAAATCAAACATAACCCTCCCACAACTTGACAGCACAAACATCATTGCCATATCGAGGCAAACAATACATGTTGAAATTTCACCATAAACTCAAATCTTGTGAAGGTGGCAAAAAGTTCAAAGAACCAGAAGTCACAAAACAGTGCTCATAATAAGAAGCTAATCGAAACCCAAAACGTTGAGACAGAGATTCTGTTCACAAAATTATGAAAGAAAGAAAGAAAGAAATTTCACGGATATGAGCTTCATTCAAACAAGAGCATGAAATAAAGCTTACAATGTGTCAAACTTAAATACGAAACCTACACATAACCAATCTCATCTATAATAACAATTCCGAGCTAGATTTAGTCTAACATAATGATAATCCCTAGCCAGAGAACGCATGAACCAAAAATTAAGCCAAAAAAATCATCTTTTTGCACGGCTGAACCGAAAGTGCGGTGATATTTACCTTCGAAAACTTCAAGGGCAGCGATTGAGACGACTTAAGCTTTTATCACAGAGGAAAGAGACCCTCGGATGATTTTTGAAACTTCAAACAAATGAGAAGCGATAAACAAGATCAAAAGCATGAAGCTTCTGCTGCCACTGGATAAGATGCAGGTTCAAGAAGAAAAGCAAAGAGAAACTTGAAGGATCAGAATATGAATGAGAGCTAAAAATCGAAGAACCCGGTAAGAAAACTGCCTCGATTATACGAAAGTGCAAAATACCGGGTGGGTTCTCTGTGGTCTAGAAGAGGTTAGGAAGAAAAGAGAACAGAGGGGTATGGCAATGGATCCCGTTATACTCTCACCTGGAGGAGAACGAAGCCTGTTCATCGAACTTGCTATATTTATTTGCTAATTACAAAAAAATAAGGGAAAATGACAGATAAAGCCACTCCAATATATACAATTCCAGTTTGGGTCCTGGAATCGTAGAAATGACAGATTGGGTCATTGACCCAATCTGTCATTTACATAATGAGGGCAAATGGACAAATTTGCCCTTATTTCAATTTTAAACAAGGACAAATTTGCGACGGCTGAGTGAAGATAGAAACAGAGCAAGAGGCGGGAAGCAACGAGACCGTGGAGGAAGCGATTTTTGTCTGTGAAGAAGGCAGATTTCGGGAAGGGAGAAAAGGGCTGCCAGTCGCATGTGGTAGAAGAAGCAAATCCGGTGGTAGAAGAAGAAGGGAAATTAGGGCATTGGCGCTCATTTCTTTCCTTCATTCAGTGGTTGTGAAAGAATTTATTCAGGTTCTCTCCATTCATTTCTTTCTCGGCTTAAATAACATTGTTTCATTTCATTTGTAATTAATCTGTTTTTCTGCGTATACTGTTATCGCGAGCGTTTGTTGATTCGGTTGGAAAAAATTTTGTTCCTGAAAAAATCTGAGAAAATGACACTAAGTTCTTTTAGCGGCAAGGTGGCGAGGTTGTTACAGAGGAAGTAATTTGAATATAGAGATTGCAGAACTGATGTTGTGGGGATTCCGAACTTTTTCTGGCTATTGTTGATGAACTCACTCTTAAAGTGTTTTGATCATTATGAATGAGTTCTAATTTGCATTGTCTTGTGGGTATAATTTTTTCTGTTAAAGGTTGAACTATTTCGTTTGACATGAATATATATAATTGTTCAATTGCATCATTTTGCTTGGGCATCACTATTTTGGAAGTAGACAGACCCATAGAACAGAGTATCTAAGGTCATTCTTCTATGTCAAGCATGGCTGCTGAGTGAGGGTGGAGGGAAATAATGTATCCTTGATTATTAGAGTCCACTATTTCTATGCATGTTGTAAAAACAATCAGTTCAAGCAAAAAGATTGCTAATTGGGTCTGCTCCTTATTAAGTCATCGTAGATCATGTATTTGAATTGTTAAGGATTTATTTTTGTATCTGGAGCAAACGTCATTGAAATTGAACTGGTTTCCTGCATGTCTACAACTGGAGACGTTCGGTTTGTTCTCTTGTTATAGAAATGTTTGAACGGATTAGGTGATGATGGTTGTTGATGAAAATTGATGGCTATTGCAGGATAACAAATATGTCAGCTGATGAACAAGGTCCATCTAAACCTGTGAGGAGCGGGTTGCTTTTGTTTAGAACTGAGTTTATGAATAAGTGTAAGAAGAAGTTCAAGAATGTGACCCAATGCACTAAAGCAGTGACAAAGGCATGGAAAGAACTGCCTGAATCAGAGAGACAAAGATATAAAGATGAGGCAAAGAAAACAAGGCCACCAAAGGCAACAACGAGCAACTACCAGCTTCCTTTTCATTGTCGTAGTGCACTAGGACAGTTCATTTCCTTGGCAGTGTATGTTAAGGACAACAAGGATCTGAAAGACGAGGTTCAAGCAATGGGGTTGTCAAGGTTGCTAGAGTTGAGACTTCGTAGACTCCCTCAAGACATTTGTGCTGCTATGATGCGTTCATATGATCCACCAACGCAGCAATTTCTCATTAGGGGAATGTCTAGAAAACTGGATGCAGTAGATGTGCAAATGCTCTTAGGCATACCCCATGTTGGGAGAAGGGAGGTGACATCTGAAGTTACTAAGGACGACCCTGCATTTATAAGCCTTAGGCTTAATTATTTCCAGAAGTCTTATACAGATATTTTGAAGGTGATAACATCTGGACAAAAGAAGGGTGATGAATTTAAAATGTTGTTTATGCTCCACACACTTGGAACTCTGTTATGCCCCACTTCTAGTGGAAGAGTAAGTGAGCGACTGATAAAGGTGGTGGCTGCAACAAAGGATTCATTTGTGGAATATGATTGGGCTACGTTTGTGGTGCAAGAGCTGTCGAAGGAGATGGAAGATTATTTGAGGGTTGTGAGGAAGCAGGATGGCAGCTGCAATGTTGGTAGATGCATATACCTATTACTGGTATGCATTTTTTTTATTAGTTATTGTTTTGCCACTGTAACAGTGTTAATGTCATTTAATTGGTGATACAGCTATATTTGCTTGAGTATTTTCCTATAACTGAAAGTGCAAAGCATGACCACACTGAGGCCATATCATTCTGGACGGATAAGAGGGTCAACGAAATGAGTAATAAAGAAAGAAAGAGCCGTATTGGACTTCTCTATTCAGAAGGGCGTGCTGGAGTGCCTGATAATAAGGGAGGAAGCGAATCTGTACCTTATCTAGACCCGGTAAAGGCAACCTTGTTAAATAGTGATTTTGTTTATATTATTTAGTAATATGTCATGTTTACAAACTTATGTAACCTTCTCAAATATTTTTGAAATAACAATACATACTGAAAATTTTTTTGGTTTCCTATAGGAGTTGAAAGATTTGCGTGAGAGGTTGGTGGGGATTATTAGAGAAAATAGCAACAAACTTGTGGCTATTGTTGACAATGAGCTGATGAAGGTACAGCTGGGAAGGGAGTACAGGCCGAAATCTAACAATAAAAGGCATGTACGGCCCCATGAGGAAGAACAACTTGAAGGTGAAGCTGATGGAGAAGATGATGGCGAGAAGGACAAGGATGGTGATGCAGAAGATGATGGTGAGAAGGACAGGGATGGTGATGCAGAAGATGATGGTGAGAAGGACAGGGATGGTGATGGAGAAAATGAAGATTCTGAACATGATATTGAGGAAGAAGAAGGTGAAGAGGAAGATATTGAACAAGTATCATTGCAATTATCTCCTATCACCATCATTCACCCAGATGCTGAAGGAGGAGCATCGGATGAAGAGGAAGTACTGGACAAGGCAGAACAAGTAAGAAGATCAAAAAGGCCGATGAAGCCCGCCCCAAAACTACAGTCTCCCTGGGTTGTGCCAAAGGTTGTGAAGAGAACAAACCGAAAGATGGATGACAAGGAAAAATTTTTCATCACTGTCTCCAAAATGTGCAGTTCAGCTGATGGTGACAAGTAAGCCTTTTATTGCTATTAAATAAATGTGAATGAAACTTTTTGTGGCCTGTCTAAGCAAAATGAGTACTTGATCTGCAGGAGGTTGGTTGAGTTGTATGACTTCCATGTAACTCGTGATGATCTAAGGTCATTGGGTGGAATGCATAGAGTTAGTAACCATGTAATGAAATCTCCACCTGATTAGCTATTGTGTATAACAGATGCTGTGCAAGCTGAAACTTAAAAATTTTCTCATGTGTCAAACAGGTCATGTCAATGGTGTGCCACATGCTGATGGGAGAAATAAAAGAGGGGGGTAGACAAGTTAGACGACACATATTTGATGCCTACTTTATGGTAAGATTGCTGTAATATTACTTAATTTCAGCAATAGTTTATGTCAATATGCTTATAGTGTCATATTTTGCAGTCCAAACTTTGTAGTCTAGGGTAGAGTGTTGCAGTGAGCAAGAAGGAACTACAAGAGGAACATGTTGGTTACAACATTGGGGATTGTGACTTGATTTTGGGACCAGCACTTGTAGACCAACACTGGTTCTGCTTTGTGCTGGAGCCGAAGGTCATGAACTTCTACGTGCTGGATTCACTGAACGTATATGTTAGCGGGCAGCCAAAGAAAAAGAACAAGCAGAAGGGAACAATTGTTGACGATATGGAAAAGTTCCACAACATTTGTGTATGTACCAATTATTGTTTATAATTAATCTGTTCCATTTTTATTTCATTGATTGCTATTGTTTTATCCAGCGGGACCGGTTTCACGATATTATAGAATTGGTTCAGCCAAAGTTGATTGGGAAGAAGCCAAAGCCTGATATAATTTATCCTGATGTTGCAAAACAAAACAACATGTGAGTGTGATTAACTTTTTTGTTCTTTAAATTGATTGGTTGGCTGGATGTTATTGGGCAAAATTGTTAACACGTCATGACATGCTGTGTGCAGCAAGGACTGTGGAGTCTATGTTATGCTATGGTTAAAATCGTGGCATCCACAGGCAGCGCTTAATTATACTCCTGTACGTTTTATGTAATTAATGATTGTTTGTTGTGATTGATTATTGCCTTATGTGACGAGGAATTCAATGTCTGTGCAGGATCAAGTGGCTCAATTTAGGCGTGATCTAATGTGGTGGATGGTTAATCATCCTAACAATGCATGTCGTGATGCTGCCTTAACACTATTGGAGGAACAAGAAGATACTAGAAAAAGCAAACGACAGCGATCAACTCAATAGGAGTGTCAAGAATTAGTATTTACATGTGTATAGGACAATTTGGAAAGGTTTCTTCAATAGTAACCATGTAATTTCAAAGGGGATGATGTTGTACCGATAATGTACATAGTCAAATTCTGGGTGATTATCAATTTACGACTTGTTATTAAGTTTAGTACTTAGATCTATTTAAAGAATGACTATAACATTTTTATCATTACCTATATTCGTTTAAGCAAATAACTAGTCACTGATTTGTAGTTAGTGGTGCGCAATGAATAATTATATTCATTCACTAGTTCGATTTGAGAAAGCACTAGAAGTGTGTAATCATTACCTACATCTGTGTAGAAAATAACTACTTACTATATGAACGTACGCAGAAATGGCCCATGAGGAGTTTCATTGAGAGCCAGTACAAGTGATAAGGTTATTACCCACAGCTAATCAACAATTCACTAGAACTGTGTAGGCATTACCTACATCAAAGTAGAAAATAACTACTTACTATATCCACGTACGCAGAAATGGCCCATGAGGAGTTTCATTGAGAGCCAGTACAAATGATGAGGTTATTACCCACAGCTGATCAACAATTCACTAGAAGTGTGTAGGCATTACCTACATCAGTGTAGAAAATAACTACTTACTATATCCACGTACGCAGAAAT